TGGACGGGGCTTGGAGCAACCTGGGCTGGTGGAAGGTGTCCCTGCCCATGGCAGGGAGTGGCACTGGATGGGCTTTAAGATCCCTTCCAATCAAACCATTCTGGGATTCTGTGATTGAGCTGCTGAAGCCCCTCAGCTCTGTTGCAGTGCAGAGAAACCCCCCTGATAATGAGCAGCTTAACATGGGATTTTCCTGAAGAAAGGGAGAATCTTCCTTAGAAATGTTATCCAAGGATCCTTAGGTTTGAATTTCCTTGGGAGAAGGTTCCATTCCCGTCCTGGGTCAGGTTGCTGTGCAGCCACAGCCATAATGTGATTCCACAGTGCAACCGCTGGCTGTGAATCCCTGTCCCTCCTCTCCCACACTTGTGATCCCAGCAGCCACTTCCAGCAGACCCTGGAGTTCTCAACCTTTCCTTGTCTTACAAAACCAAACCTGGCACAGACATTTTTCCAAGGAAAGGTCAAACTGGGGGCTGAGATGACTGAACAAAACTCTGTGTGTGTTTACAGGGCCTTGGCTTAGGCTCTGGGCTGACAGAGCACGAACCTTGTCCTGGTGGAAACAGGGACATCCTTCCTTTCTTGTAGTCAGCCCTAAGTCAGCAAACACATGCACAGATAAATAGGAAGGACATGGGAAGTTTATTATTTTTAAATCACTTTTTAATCACTTTTGTGCCTGGAAATCGGGTGGTCGAGGGACAACCCCAGTTTTCAGTTTTGAAACAAGGGGGTTATTTCGATTTCTGTTTCTAAAAATGTTGCTTTAAAATGTGACTGAAATAGTCTGAGGACAAAACTGGATGTTAGTGCTGTTCAAAACCCCAATCTGTGTTTGGTTCAGCCCCATAATTGAAGAATCCAGAGGTTTGAGTGCTTAGGGTGGGTGAGATGTGCCAAGGGGAAGCAGCAGCTCTGGGAATGGGATGTGGAGCTGATCCCATTCCCACTGTGGAGCTGGGTGGGCAGCAGGTGGAGAGGGACTGGGGGGACTCCATCTCCTGGTTCTTCCCAAAGAGATCCCACAGACACAGCTGGAACTGTCCTCTCTTGTCCCCATTGCACCAGAGACCTGGGAATCCCTCTGATCCCAGAGATCCCCTCTCCCTGCCCCCACAACCCCTCACAACCCACCCTGGGATGGGATATTCCTGAAGATCCATACAGGAGCTCCTTGATCCTGTCTGACAGAACCCCCCTGGATGAGTAAGCCTTGAACATGACCCGTTTAAAATTTCCTAGGGAAGTGAACATTTTATGTGGTTCCCAAAGATAACCCTGACCCTTTGAAAGCCAAAAGGTATTTCTTGTTCTGTAACATCTGGTTTGAGACTCTGCTTTGGCATGAGACTAATTTTATGTGTCTGCATGGTTTGACTCTGCTCAGAGCTCAGCTGGCCAGGAAATCTTTTGCTTTCCACGAATCCCGTAAGGAAATACTCTGGATTATTTTCCTTAGGGTAACACCCAGTTTGCTGCATGGTTTTCTCTCAGTGATCTGGTGTTTTCTCTCTGTGGCAGATTGATTTCTGATTTCTAGGGAGAAGGATGTGCTGAGGCATCCTGTGTTCCTGCAGTGAACTGTGTGTGTGTGTGTGGCTCTGAATAACACAGAGAATAATTCAGATTTGTACCAGGAAAAATGCAGATTGGAATTATGTGCACTCCCCTTAAAAAGTGGGATCAGAGGAGGCCAGTTGGGGTGTGGGAATCTGCCTCCCCCGGGTGTGTGCAGGGGAGTTCTCCAGGAGTAGGAGCTGTCAGTGATCTGCCTTTCCCAGAGTTCTGCAACTGCCTTTTTGCTTGAGTTTCTGAGTTGTGGTTTCAATTCCTGCATGTTTTGAGCAGCATTAAACAGGGGAAGAAGTGCATGATCCCGGGAGAGGCCGAATTCCCTGGATCAGGGACGCTCGGCAGGTTTATTGATTCAAGGGAATTAAACCCACAGGGGATGAAGCTCCATCTCCCACATTCTCCCACAGGTTTGGAAGCAGGTGCTGGTCACTGAGTGCCACCTTTTCCTCTCTCCACAGGACAAAGGCCCTTGTCTTGGAACTCTTGGCAGCCGTTTGCCTCGTCCGAGGGGGACACGAGATCATCCTGTCGGCCTTTGATAACTTCAAGGAGGTACCTTGGCCCAACTCATTTAATTTGGGTGTTATTCCCTCTCTTATTATTGCCTGGAGCTTTCTCATCCAGCTAAATTCCCTGGAATCAGGATTTTCCATGAACTACAGGCTTTCCTTGGAGGTGCAAAGCAGCTCCGTGGTGACCATTCCGTCGTTTTCGTGTCTGTGGGGAAGAGCTGTAACTCCAACAGGGCGGATCCAGACTGGGAATTTGAGCTCCCTTTGCTCAGTCAAATGATGTCCCATCGTTTTAGGACATTTTGAAAGCTTGACTCCAGTTGCTCTGTCTCTGGAACAACCAGGAATGCTGGGTTAGCTCTCCCGTTTCCAAAGCCATTTCCACAGGCCCTTGAAACACAAAGTTCCCGGATTTACCCTCAGTGGGAATTTTGTCTGTGTAGAAATTACAGAATCAAGTCTCTGTCAGTCACAGGGACTGCTGGAATTCATCCAGGAATTCCAGTTGGCTCAGGTGTCATTTATAGGTGTATTTTCCAGTTTGCACACAGTGATTAAAAGGATTTGGGAATATTGTGTGAAAGTTTGGAAGCACTGGGAGGGGGAAGCAAGTCCTAGAATGCTGCTGTCTTAGTTTCCTTTGGATATTGTCTAAATGTGTGGGGTTAATATCAAATTAAAAAGGAATAAATTAGACTTCCCAGCTCCAGAATTGTTGGATTTGATGAGTCCCAACTGGACACAGGGTGTGTTTCCTTGAAGCTGTAAGTGGGTTAATGCAGATGATCCAGGAGCCAAGTTGGTAATTTTTTGATGTTTTTTGTTTGGGGAATAATTTCTGACCTCGGAAGGATTTTCATGTTGTAGGTAAATGAGGGAATTTTGGAGGTGCTCGACATCATCCAGAGCAAAAGGTTTGAGTGACCTCCAGCGTGGGCCTGTTGTGGAAAGCTCAGCTCTCTGCAAGTCCAGGCCTGTCCTGGGTGTGGGAAGGTTGTCCTGAGGACAGAGGGAATGGGAACAGCACTGCTGGGAAGTGGAAGTTGGGTTGGAAGTGTGTGACCACGGAGAGAGCCTGGCTTGGGGTGACACTAGTGGGAGGGGCACTCAGAAAATGGGAATTGGGGAAAGGTCTGGGGACCTTCAGTGCAGGCAAAAACTGGGAATTATGGTTTGGGTCTTCCCTTGGTTCATCTGTGTCGTGTCATGTCTTTGTTTGCACCTTTGGGAACCCAAGGGATCAGGAGGCAAATGCAGTGGGATTGTTGGGAAGAACAATTTGAGAGAAGGGCTTTCAGTGGGGAAAAAGCTCTGTAAATGTGCAGATCACAACGTTGTTAGCCCAGGGTTAAATTCTCCTGGGTTTTCCTGCTCTGTTATGGAAGGAACAGGGCTCAGCAGGGAGGGAATTGGGGATAAATAGTGGCTGCAGCCAAATCCCACTGGTTGGGATGGTCTGTGAGGCTCATTGGACACCTCCCAGGGAAGGGTGTGGAAACCCCAGGTGCTTTCTTACCTTCCTGACATCCTCAGTCAAGGTTTTGTTCCTTCATGTCCTTCCAGGTGCTCTGTCATCTCCTGCTGAGACAAATATTCCCGTGGAACCCATTCAGTTTGTGTGGAATTAGTTATTTATTCCATTCCTTTGGGGTCTGAGCAAGTGATGGTGGAACTGTCGGCTGTTGCAGGTTAAGTGAGGTCAGGGAGGGGATTTACCTTCCTCAGTTCTGCATTTGGATGCTCTTCTCTTTCTCAATTCTACATTTAGATGCTCTTTTTTTCCTCAATTCTGCATTTGGATGCTCTTCTCTTCCTCAATTCTGCATTTAACTGCTCTTTCATTCCTCAGTTCTGCATTTAGCTGCCCTTTTTACCCAATTATGCTGCTTATTTCTTGCTCTGTGCTGTTGTTTTCCACCTTCCTCCTGGGTGGAGTTTTCAGGAATGATTTCAAGTTTTCACTTTTATTTTATAAACCCCTCGAGTTGCTGACAAGTCAAGTACCCAGGCTTGGCTTTCCAGCCCTGCACATCCAATTCAAATTGCTGTGAGCTCCATAATCTTTGTGTGGCTGCTGTAGCTCTGCAGTTCAGGGCTGCCACGGTTCTTTCATGCATATTTAGGGCAGATTTGACTTATTGAATTAGATCTCTGCCACTCCATCTCTTTGCCATGAAACAACTTCAAAAGGAAGCTGAACTCCTGCCTAATGAAATCTAATAAAGTCAGGAGGGAAAACAGGATGTTTAGCACCAAGTTCTGCTCTCGTTTCCATGGGGGTGAACATCAGATGGTTCATCAGGCTTTGAGCTTTGCTCTGATGGAAACGAGGGCAGGGTTTGGTTCTTGTCAAGGGAGATTTTTCAGTTGAAAATGGAGACCTCAGAGCCCCTTCTGGTATCTGAAGGGCCCCCAAGGAATACAGAGAGGGATGGTCATCAGGAACTGCAGTGGCAGGACACAGGGAATGGGGTCAGACTGGAAGAGGGGAAATTTAGCTTGGATATCTGGAAGAATTTCTTCCCTGTGAGGGTGGGGAGGCCCTGGTCCAGGTTGCCCAGAGAAGCTGTGGCTGCCCCTGGATCCCTGGAAGTGTCCAAGGCCAGGTTGGATGGGGCTTGGAGCAACCTGGATACTTCCAGGGATGAGTTATCCTTGTGGACCAGCAGAATAACCCGTGCTGGAAGAAGCTCTTTGCAAAGCGCTGGAAAATGTAAATGCAGTTGTTGTTTGTTGGCTTTTGAGAGTGACTTAACCCTGCTGTGGAGAAGTAAAAAAAGGTATTTTAACCTAGTAAGTATTAAATAACTGTTTGCTTGACCAGAAACTTAACGGGAAAACGGATTTTTTTGTTCTCCCGCGAAGTGCAGGAATGTCAGCACGGGGAGGGCAAACAAAGTGTCCCTGTGGAGGGTCGTGGGCCGGCGGTGGGAGCTGCTGCTCACACTGGGCTCTTGTGGGGGACAGAAAGCCAGCATTGTGCTGCTGGACAAAGGGGCACAGACAGGAGAAGGGGGCACAAAGGCTCCCAGGGATTTTTGGGCTGCAGATCCATCAGGCTGTGTGAGACAGCACACCCTGTATGGGCTGGGCTCGTCCGCACGCTCTGTGTTTGCTCTGCCTCTCTCTCTTGGAGGACTCCAGGAGTTACTGGAGGAGGAGGAGAAGCTTAAAACAGCCTTTGGGGGGGTCATTTTAACATTGGCACTGGCAGAACGTGTCTTGTATTGCAAAGCCTCTCCTATAGTTTAGGTGTTTTAAATTTGCTCCATCAGAGGGTAATTTTCCTGCCTTGGGGTGCTGAGTTCACCTCGAGGGAACTGCAACCAGAGGGTTTCATTTTCTGTCTGGAGTTTGGGACCACCAGGTGTTTCCTGATTCGAAATGACCTTAAAACTCATCCCATCCCACCCCTTGCCATGGGCAGGGACACCTTCCACTGTCCCAGGTTGCTCCAAGCCCCATCCAGCCTGGCCTTGGGCACTTCCAGGGATCCAGGGGCAGCCACAGCTTCTCTGGGCAACCTGTGCCAGGGCCTCCCCACCCTCCCAGCCAGGAATTCCTTCCCAACATCCCATCTAACCCTGCCCTCCTTCAGCTTAAGGCCATTCCTCCTTGTACCGGGACAGTCCTCCAGATGTGGAGGAGTTCACAGTCTGGCAGCTGTGTCTCAGAAATCCTGCCTGGATTCACTGCCCTCTCCATATGGAACACGCTGGCTCTGCTTGTGGTGACATTTAGTTACGAGCTCCATTCTCCAGCAAACTGAGGTGGTGGTGTGAGATGAGTTTCTGAGGTGGGAGGGTAATGGATGTGCTTCTACCAGCCCGGGGTTTCACCTTCTGCCTGACACTGCATATGAAAATATCTTCAGTTTTCCCAAATCCCCTTGTCTGCTGCTCCCTGCCCAGGTTGCTGTTCGAGGTGCCCAGAGGGGTTGTGGACTCCCCTGGATCCCTGGAAGTGTCCACGGCCAGGTTGGATGGGTCTTGGAGCAGATTAGGATAGTGGAAGGTGTCCCTGCCCGTTGGAATGAGATGGGCTTTAGGGTCCTTTCCCCCTCAAACCATTCCGTGATTCTGGAGCATCTTCCAATGATCCGGCCCCGAGAGTGGGAACAGCGCGAGGGTCGTCGTAGTTGAGCTTTGCTCTTGGGTGGTCTGGATGGGAACTGTGTGACCACTGCCAGGTGGATATGGGTGCAATCCTCAGGAAATTTTTCATAACAGATCCTTTTGCTTCCTTACGGGATTGTGTCGTGGCTTTGTAACGGATCCGTGCTGGATTTCCTTCGTTAGCACCCGGAGAAAGGACCCTCCGTGGGTGGTTTTCCATAAAGCCACATTGTTCTTCCAGAATGACGTGGGCTTAATGGGACCTAAAGTGGGCTTTTTCACAGCCTAAGCAGAGACAGAGGGTTTTTATAGCTGTGGTAACTCGTTTAATCTTGCTTCTTACACAGAATAAAGCCAATAAAAGAAAGCTCTGCCTCTCCTCGGCCCAGCCGTGCTTCCAAATGACAGGCCTCGGGAATTTATTCCAATAGAAATGGCAACATATGGTTTTATGTGGTGGGATTTGATTTCAGCATTCTCCTTGGCTTTGGGCCAGTCTTCAGGCTGGAGGCTCCAGCTCTGGTTTCACTCTCTTTAATCTTCCAGGATAAATTATATCATTTCGTGAAAGTCAGTTCTGCTGCCTCCTCAAACACACACGGCCCAGCCCTGACTCATCTCAACTATCTGAGAGCAGCCACCGAAAGCCACAGGTGGTTGTTGCTTTTCCTCTTCCTCAGCTGCTGTATCCCAGCCAGCCAGGGCTGCTCCAGCCCGGGATCTGCTCTGCCAGGGCACTCTGGGTTGCTCCCGGTTTAATTAGTCAGCCCTAAATGGCTCCGAGTTGTTTGTGTCAGCTTTTCTCATCCCTGTGGAATGGTTTGCATTAGATTTCCCAGAAATCAGTCCTTCTGGCTTTACTGGTGAGGGATCAGATGCACCATTGTTCTGTTTGGTTCCACAGTCCAGGGTTTTGGTTAAATCGGCTCCGTTTCTTGTGACGTGGGTACAAGAGAAATCGTGGAATCCCAGACTGGTTTGGGTTGGAAGGGACCTTTAATCCCACCCCATTCCACCCCCTGCCATGGCCAGGGACACCTTCCACTAGCCCAGGTTGCTCCAGCAGGGAAAAATCATGTGGGATATAACACAGAGCAATTAAAGAGTGATGAAGGAGAGGGTTCCTGGGGTTTGCTTGGAGCAGGGGTTGGATCCAGCCCAGCCCACGCCTCCCAAACCCAATGATCCCATGGAGCAGCTGCTGCCTTTGATCCCTGCACTGCCAGGGGCTTCCTGAAACTCGGCCACATCCCTTGCCCTGGGTTTTGCTTGGTGCTGCTCTGACCATCAATGAGGTGTGTGTGGGGTTTGGGCTTTGATCTCCCAGCAAGGCCATTCCTGATGCTGCAGGGAGGCTTTCCAAGGATTGCTCCTGAAGGAAAGCCTGGGATTAGACTGGAGATTCACAACCAGGAGGGTGGTGATCTCCAAACTCCCCCAGCCTTTTCCTGGGATCCCATCAGACAGGTCATTTGTGCTTCACCAAAGTACTCCTCCATCCCAGAGTGGGTCTGGTTTGCTCTATTTTAGACTTCAGTGCGGGGTTTTTTTGGGTTTTAGTGGAGCAGCCCATGGAAAAGTGTTTAATGCTTCACTTTCATGCCGTGGCCTGCAGAGAGAGATGAGTCCTTTGGGTTTAAAATCAGGATAATTTGCTTGAGCAACAAGTATAATTTGTTTTTCATGAGGTTCATGCTTTGTTGTTTGAGGGTTTATTTTACCTGGTGAGGCTTCAAGGTTCAGCTGGAGACACTGAAATGCAACTTCAGCAAGCCAAGGGCTCACCAAGGGTTTTGTTTCTCAGCAGAAGGGAACTTTCAGTCCTCCAGATGACTGGAATCTGTTTTTCCAGGACCTTTAAGGTGAAAACAGCTTCTTTCAGAGCTGCTTCTGTCCTTCTGAAAACAGGGAAGCTTAAACCTCCTGCCATGGGCAGGACACCTTCCATTAAACCAGGGGGCTCCTCGAACACTTACAGGGATGGGAAGTGTCTTTCCCAAACTTATTTACTCTTTTGTGGCTTTTTGGGGATTACTGCAGATCATTTGTGTGCTGAGGGAAGCAGGACTGAGCCAGAGGAGCTACTGGGAATATTAAGATTTCAGCAATATCCTGAGAGCTGCTTTATCTTAGATCTTCTTTCTCCCCCAGATTGCTTTTGTTTCCTGCCAGCAGCCCATACTACAGCTCTGTAACCCTGATTGTTACACTGATGTATTTTCACTCCTTGTTTAGCCAGGGATAATTTTCCCTTTGTCTTCCCTGTAATTTGCTTTTCTTCCTAATTACATGATATTACAGTGAAGAGCCAGGAGAGAGGCTGAGCCTTCCCTGTGGCGTGGCCTGGTGCAACTCTTACACTCAGAATGATGAAATTTGTGAGGGGAAAAGACCCACAAAGAGCTATTTTATGATTGTATCTATATAATAATTGTCCCTGACTCCTCAGACTTGCACTGCAGGTGTTGACAGAGAATTGTTCAGCTGGATTTTTTTGACAAAGAATATTTTCAACCTGGACAAAGGGGTTTTGAACGAGCAGAAAAATCTACATTTTCAATGTTTGGGTTTTTTTGCCCAAGCTGTGCTTGACCAAAGGTGTGGTGCTTGTTTTTTGTAGGTGTGTGGGGAGAAGCAGCGCTTCGAGAAGCTCATGGAGCACTTCAGAAACGAGGACAACAACATAGACTTCATGGTGAGTGGGATTGACCCTCAGCAGCTCTAATTCCAGAGTTTCCTGTGCCTGAGCTGTGTCTGCCTCCTGATCCTGGGCCTAAAACACCACAGCCCAATTATTTATGTTCCAAATGCCTTTCATTTTTAGCTGCCCATTCACTTTTCCTCTCGAAGTGCCTTGTGCCACAGTGAAGGTAAGAGGGAAGTGGCCCTTTGTGCTCTTTCACAGCAGCTTCTGCAACATCCAGTTCTGTCCCTGTGCCAAAATCCTGGGAGCCCCAGACAGGGAAGTGTGGGAGAGACTCTCTCCAGCTGCTGCCTGTCCTTATCTGCTGATAAATATAGCAGTGGCTTGCACCACTTTTGGTTCCTCAGTGTGCATCTGCATGACTTTTTCACCAAACCCACTTCCCCTGGAGCACAAAGAGGGAAGAGGGAGAGGGGAAGCTCTGGCTGGCACAGGCACCAGCACGTTGGCATCACGTGGGAGGCTGTGGCAGTGAGGATGTGTCTGCTACCAAAAATACCTCTATATCTGGTTTTTTAACTCTGTGCTTGTGTGAGAAATGGGAGAAATTAAAGCCTTATATATTTAAATCAGGGAAAGTCTCCCTTGTGCTGCTCCTGCTCAGGGCTTGGATCCCGTGTGGGCCTGGCTGAAGTGGGAGGAGAGCAGGAGGAATTCCCACCCCAGCTGGTTTTCTGAGGCCTCTGTGAACCATCTGTGATGCTTTAAACCATGTCAGTGCAGAGCTTTGTGTTAAAGATCTTTTTCTGCCAAGAATTAGGTGTCAGAGCACCCGCTGGGGTGTTCCCTACAGGCTTTGAATGCTCTGTGTCCGTGGCTTCCAGAGGGACAGCAGGATAAAAAGGAGGTGGTGTGAGTGAGCCAGGATGGCAGATTTCTTGGATTTAAAAAGAAAAGGAGAAAATTACAGTGGTGCCTGAATTTTAACTCCAATTAACAGCTGCTTTCAGTAACTCTGACACATTGGATTGGGTTCATTCCTTATTCCTGCATCAGTGTCCCTGCAAGGACAGGTTGGTAGGCACAGAAAACATGGAGTATTTAGTCTGTAATATAACAGAAAGATTTCTCAGTCCTCAAATCCCAACTCTCAGTCATTTTTTCCATACTCACTGTGAGGGATGATGGAATTTGAGGAGTGGTAGTGAAGCAGCCTGAGCCACCTCACTGGTATTGTAGGGTTTGTCCACTTTTTAGAGAAAGAAATCATCTGTTAGAGAATCCCAGAACCATCTGGGTTGGAAAAACCCTCTCAGACCATTCCCCAGCACTGCCCAGGCCACCACTGGGGACCATGTCCCCAAGTGCAACATCCACAGGGCTTTTAAATCCCTCTGGGAATGGGACTCACCACTGCCCTGGGCAGCTGTGCCAGGGCTGGACAACCCTTTCCATGGAGAAAATTTCCCTTAAATCCAACCTAAACCTCCTCTGGAGCAACTTGAGACCATTTCCTCTTGTTCCATCATCATCACCTTCATTTAAGATGTTAAATGATGTATTGTAAGGATGTAACAGGGAATCTGCATGTGAGTGTCCATACAAGCCTGGAGAGCTGGGAATATTCAGCATCCATGTGGGCAGCCTGGAAGAAAATTCCCTCCTCTTCTCATAGGTTGAAGATTGCATTGAGGTTTGCTTGAAAAAGGATGAATTTTTTTTTAGGACTTGCCCAAATATAAACAAAATCTGCATGTTTGGCCTGCTCCACCAGCCATGGTCTGGAGTGTAGGACCAACCTGGAGCTGGAGGAGAAATTCCTTAGTTGTGTATGTAAGGATTTGGGAAAGGAAATGAGAATTTGGCCCTGGTGTTGTGAGATCCACAGCAAGGATCGCAAAAGCACCCTTGGACAGGGGAGTTTGGCTCTGGGGGAGGCGCAGGACAGCAGGGATCAGCTGGAGAAGGCTGGGAGCAGCACTGGGAGGAACCAGGGTCCACCACAGCAGCTGGAAAGGGTCCTGAAAAAGCTTGAAACCTCATCTTAGGTTTCCAGGAGCATGGATTGGAACCTGGATTTGGGTTTCCAGGAGCATGGATTGGAACCTGGATTGAGGTTTCCAGGAGCATGGATTGGAACCTGGGTTTGGGTTTCCAGGAGCATGGATTGGAACCTGGATTTGGGTTTCCAGGAGCATGGATTGGAACCTGGATTGAGGTTTCCAGGAGCATGGATTGGAACCTGGGTTTGGGTTTCCAGGAGCATGGATTGGAACCTGGATTTGGGTTTCCAGGGGCATGGATTGGAACCTGGATTTGGGTTTCCAGGGGCATGGATTGGAACCTGGATTGAGGTTTCCAGGAGCATGGATGGGGTTGTTCCTGTAGGATATGGGGACACACCAAGGGCTGCGAATGGTCTATTCCAGGAGCTCCTGGATGAGTTTTTAGACCATTCTCCTTCCTCTGTTCCTTGGTTTTGTCCCTCTTACCAGTCTCACAACCCTATTGAAGTGATTTTGGAACAGAGAGTGGTCAAAGCTGGTCAGGGCCTAGCAGGGAAGGTGGAGCTGTTGAGTGACCTTTGTAGTGTCCTTGTGGTCCCAGTTCCTCCAAAGCTGGGACAGTTTGGCTGGGAAGGTTTTATGGCATCCCAGTGATTTCTGGGAGCTGCAGCTGGAAGGAGCAGGTTGGGACACCCTGACCAGCCCTGGGATCACAGGGCAGATCTGTCCCCTCGAGTTTATCCTGTGGGCCTGGAACAGATCACAGGGAACTGGCCAAGTTCCAGTACCAAACTGGTCATCCAGTGAGGGCCTTCAGTTCTTTCTTCCCACCAAATGCCCCAGAGATGTGGGGTCTCCTGGAGGCTTTTCAGGTTGTTTTGTTTTTTGCCGCCTCAGGTTCCTTCTGGAGATCCGGGAGGTATCCCGGTGGCTGTTGGGAAGCTGGAATTATCCCTGTTGTAGTATTGCTCCCGGGATGGGGTTATGTCCTTGAGAAACCCAGCAAGGATGAGGCAAACCCTGTCTTGGGGCAGCTCAGAGGGTGATGGATGATCCCCAGGGAGCTGGGAGAGGGCTGGGGGTGCCTGTGCAGAGCAGGACGAGGCCTGGCCTTACATTCAGGGGAAGGACAAACTTTTTGGTGTTTCTACCCCAATTCCTTCCGCTCCACAGGTTTTCTTGGAAAGGAAGAGGCTTTGCCTTCCTTTGGCTGTGCTGGGACATGTGTGGATGCCAATTCCAGTGATCTGATCCTCAACCCACAGCTTAGGGAACGTGCTTTGGGCACCCAACAAAGCGCCTTTTGTGCAAGTCCCGTTTCCTGAACTGGGGGTTCCAGTCCCCACATTAATCTCACTTTTCCAGGCAGTTTGAGGAACAACATTGTTTTCTTTAGAGCTCGTGTGATGTCTGCTCTGGCCCTGGGAGCTGGCAGGGGCAGCGTTCCCGCTCACCGGCACGCCGGGAAGGTGGGCCTGGAGACATGACTCAATTCCTGGAACTCGCGTTTCCCTTCATCCCAGCAGACAAAATTCAAGCGCTGCCTTGGAAATAAACCCTTTCAGAACAGCAGCTCATGGTTTTCCCCTCGGAGTAACCACAAGGAAACGTGGTCGTGGCCGTGTCCGGCCCTGGAGATCCCGCTCTGATCCTGGTCCTGGAAAACCTGTTCCGACCCCGGTGTGGGGCTGTGGGGACAGCTGGGGGTCACTCTGTGTTGTCCTTGCAGGTGGCCTGCATGCAGTTCATCAACATCGTGGTGCACTCCGTGGAGGACATGAACTTCCGAGTGCACCTGCAGTACGAGTTCACCAAGCTGGGCCTGGACGAGTACTTGGATGTGAGTCCAACCCAATCTGCTCCCTCCAACACAGCCCCAGCCCTGAACCCCCCCAAACCCCTCACCCCAGAGCTGTTGTCCCACAGTCCCTGCTCCCAAGGCTGTGTCCTGGCTGTTCTGGGGGGGCTGTGACTGGAGCCTCCTGATGGGAGGGAATTGGGCTGCAGCCAACTGGAATTACAGCCTGGAGCTAAATGTGGAGCTCTGCTTATAACAAAGGGAGGATGAACCACAGTCACCCTCGCCCTGCCACGTCCCTCAGGGCTGCTGGCCTCAGGTTGGCCCTGGCTCAGGTGCTGCCAGGGCTCCTTCCATCTCCAGGGGTGGAAAATCTCTCCTTTGGGTTTTCCCTGGCAGCCAGACGGGCTCTGGTGTCCTGTGGGAAATGCTGGGTTTCAGAAGGAAGCTGCTTTTGTTTCCCTTTATCTGTTTTTCATGGAATCTCAGGCTGGTTTGGGTGGGAAGGGACCTTTAAAGCCCATCCCATTCCACCCCTGCCATGGGCAGGGACACCTTCCA